ACCCCACACTCCACACCCCACCCACACCCACACCCACACCCACACCCACACCCACACCTACACCCTGAAAATTCACCTAAACTTAGAAGGAATATTTATTTCAAATAATAAAATGAGACAATGTTCTTGATTTCTAGAAACGATACGTTGACAAAATGCGCTTGATCATTTCTGAATGTTTTTCTATGAAATTCGTGACTCTTATTATATTTTGAAAAAGCAATCTGGCACCCTAATCTTATGTAAGAAGAATCAATACTATAGGATTGCATAATAATTTATGTAGAGAATTCTTTTTTTTAAATTAAGTTTTTTAAACTCTTAGAATGTAAAAAAATACATTTATATATTTGAAGTAGAGTAAACAATTCGCTACGAAATGAAATGTTTTTTCCAACCTTCTAGGACATTTTTCAACTGCAATACTTTAGTCTTACAGAATACACTAAAATTAGGTTTCTATCTGAATAACAGAAAAAATGAATGTCGTATCTTCTAAATGGTTGGTGCGTTTTCGATTAACAAACGTTGCTTAGTGAATTTTAGGAGCCTTAATATGTGTTTTTCGTTTTATTTTGAGAAAGTCTCTGTTAGAAGAAATAGCAATTAGACTCATCTTCGAAAAATACTGGTAGTAATGCAATTATGCATACGAATCACTTTTGAATTCTTACTAATAATTAAGATAATGGGGAAAGATAAAAAATAAAACCGAAGATGAATAATTCTAGGTGTTATTGTTTTCACTAAAGAAGCTTGGTGTTCTAGAAAAGAGTTAATTTTTCTTTATTCAAACTTAATTATCAGGCCTTTAAATGATTGACTCATAAGTCTTAAATCAGAAATATTTCGAAAGAACACATAATTCACATTCTGACTCTTCTTGGTACCAAGACTCTGAATAAGTCTCCAATAGTTATTTACCTCTAAATTACTGATAGTTGTAAAGAACATATCAGACTATTAGAACTGTTACAAGACAAATTGTATGCTGCGATTAAGTAGAAAAGTAGCTGTATTCTTCTATTTTCTTGTATTCACGCCTTAGTTATCACGTTTCTTCTGGTTATATCATTGCATAAATATGGTATAAAAGACATTGTCCTAAGTGCGCGAAGCTCATATAGATACACTTGAGTACAGACCAATATTTGTTTGTTTATTTTGCTTTTTGTGTTTTTTAAGTTTCCTTTCATTTTTAGAATTTTCTTCTTGAACCTTTTCAAGTGTTTCTTCAATTACTGTTTCAATTTTTTTATGAAAATGTTGTTCTTTTTTGATGATGAATTAATACGATCATCGACTTCGCATGAACGACTTTGTTTTGTTACCTGAAATGTGAAGATTGTTGAATAGTAGTACTTGGTGAACGAGTTGGTGATCTACTTATATATAAAAATTTTTTTCAAGAAATGTTTTTCTTATTAGAAAGGAGACATAAGTTTTACCTTCGATAGGATGATGATCATCGTTGACAACGATTATCACGAACTAGAGATTTGACTCGATGACGCGACTACGATTACGAGAATCACTGTAAATAGAAAAAAGTTTCTTCACTATTTTTATTAATAATAAAAGAAAAATTCTTTTTACCTGCGCATAAAAATAAATTCCTACATTCGTTGAAAATAACGTTGTTGTATATAAAATTCATTTTCTGAAAGACCTGTTGATATTGGTTGAGTGACTATTTAATGAATGTTGATGTTGATGTATATGGTGCCGCTGAATGAGGTTGAAAACCAGGCATATTATATCCATTTGTTGAAATATGTGGGGGAGTAACAATTGGAGGTGGTGGGGCAGGTGTATATGGTGTATAATAACTTCTAAATAAAAAATAGAAAATTCTTTTTTTTCTTTATTTAAGAGACTTACAATTGTATTGGATAAAGATCATTTTATGTTGCTGGTGGAATATGATAAGGATATACAGCATTATTATGTTAAAGTACTGAATAGTAATGAGAAACAACACGATTCGTTGTTACAAGTGTTGATGATGAATAAATTGTGTTTACAGAAGCAACCTGAGTTGAAGTAGCTTCACGTTCCGATTTTTCAGCTGTATTTTCGTTTTCGAAGTGCTCAAAGTAGTGATTAGGAGAAATGGATCTCAATCATAGCTCTACTTCTCTCACAATAGACGAATTGCTACTTACCAGTCCCTATTTTGAAAATTCGTTTCTCTTCAAAGATATCATGAAGCTATAGAAAAATTTATCAAAAGTTGGAAATTTTAGGATAGTGATAGTTCTTACTTGCTAATTCATAAGTCGGCGCTTGCAGAATTATAATTTATAATATAGTATAGTCACTATTAAAAAGTACAGAGTGATAGCTTTTATTTGATTTCTTTCGTACGGAAACACTAGTTTATATCCTTACTCATATCTCACAATTAGAAAAGATCAATAACTTACTTTCAAATGTGAATGATGATGATGATGTTGCATCAGTAGTTTCTTCAACTGTTGTAACATTTTTTTTTGACTAAAAAAATTCTACAATAATAAAAATTCTATCGATATGTAAAAATCAATAAAAAATCTCGGGGTTGGTGGAAAACGTAGAAAAGGAAAACGCAGAAAAGGAAAACGTAGAAAAAAATACTCGCAAGGAAAATGCAGAAAAGGGAAATATCGAAAAGGGAAATGTAGAAAAGGAAAATATCGAAAAGGAAAATATAGAAAACGATATGTCAAAATGCTGGGTTTTACATGACCTATTTTCAGAATCTAGGTTTGTCGCCATCCAACAATATACCAATTGAATATTTGAAAATTTTCTTTATTTGATTAGAAATATAATATATGAAGCGAAAGAGTGACCAATGCAGTGGCTGATTGTGTGCGTCAGCTCGTCGTAACCCCTTCGATAATTTTGTTTTTGATTTTTCCCAGCAAAAACGAACGAAAAACAAGCTCATACTACCTGGAATATATCTCAAAATATGTTTTTGTCTATGATCGCACCACCTTCAGGAAATCGTACGCCTCTTCCAAAATCCTAGATCAGTCCCTGCGCCAATCAGAATAAGAAATAGAATTTCTCTAGTAACATCATTCGAATGTATTCGACATTTTCCTTTTCTGTGTTTTCCTTTTCTGTATTTTCCTTTTCGATATTTTCCTTTTCGACATTTTCCTTTTCGATTTTTTCTTTTTCTACGTTTTCCACCAAGATCAAAATCTTCATGTCTTTTGATTAATAGCAGGTGGTCGAGTTGAAACTACTGGTTGAGTTGATTGACTCTTTGCAATTGACTGCATTTTAATAACGATTGGCGCTGTTTTTACTGGTGCAGCAGACTGTTGAAAATTTGTTTTTCAGATAGGCTGATCATATTCATCACTTTCATTAGAGGGTATGTGTGCGTACGTGTCTGTACAGACCTTCAAGTCATTCACACCCGCAGCCACAGCCTCAATATCATTAGTAGTCGAAAATCTAATTAACTGATTAATATTTAATATCTATTTCAGTGCTAAATAGCCGTAGAAATTTTTTGAATAGTTTTTGATAGGAACAAAATAGAGATCTGCAATTTTTACCGTTGGGAAGAGCAGATGAGGATACATCGAATTATATACAGAAAGACTTTTCTAACTACCATCCTATAGGCTTTATATAAAACTTCAAGAAAAACAACAAGCTTTTAATGATCACAATAGTAATTTATTGATTTTCAGGAGTGTGCTGCAATCTCCAAAGGAAGGACTACAAAACCATATCGAGACGTTAGTTTTTACTACTACCACTATGGATATTGAAACCATTGGAACAGAATTTACGATCTCATCATTGTTTGAACAAAATAATCGAAAAATGCAAATTTTTATAGTATTTGAATAGAAAAGTCACTCTCTTAACTGAGGAAAAAAAGAAATTCTTTGAAAATTTTTGACTAAACCTTTAAGAAAGTAGTTATCCCGTTCCTATCAAGTTATTCAAAAAATGCCCATGGTCACTAAGGTAAAGTTAAACCGTTTTTCATCAAATGTGTATTAAAGATAGAATTCGAAAAACTTTGATTGTACTCAAAGACTTGAACTTCATTGACTGAATTAAAATGGAATTAGAGCTGAAACACTATTTCCATCTTCTATCTTAATAATCAAAGGTTTTTTAAAGCTATCTCATAGATATTATGAAGCTTGCTGCTCCTAACATCTTGAGGGGTGTGGATGCGGGTGTGATTGTCGGTTCACATCTTTCCTTTACTCACACCCATACCACACCCATCTTTTCAACAAACAATTACGAAAATATCACGTTTAGATGACGATGATGACGATTATGATCATTAACTTGTAAGAATTCTTTTTTCTTTGTTATATTCAACAATCTATTATTCTAGTTTTGTTTTGTTTAGTATGCTAATATCAATTTATCTTCATTAGATTATGAAGTACATTTTCAATTACAAAGACGTGAACATGTTGGTCTTGGTTATAAAGGACTTGAATCATTAAATTTATTTAGTCATGATAATTTATTTGTTCAACGATCAATTGAAAAACAAATTAGTAATGTTCAAATTCATGGTCAAGTAAGTCGGTTTATTATTATTATTATTTTATTTCTCTGATGATAATATTTTTCCTGTTTCAAGGCATTTGGCGTTGGTATTGAAGAAGATGAACATGATAGAGTTTTATTTGCTGAAGATGATCTTAAATAATATGATTATGAATTAACAACAACTAATGATAATTCTACTGATATTATGCGACAAAAAACATAAGAAAATAATTTTGTATTGAAATTTGCGCGTTATGAACCTATGTCAATGCCTGTTGTTTATTCGCCACCTGTAATACCAATATATCTTCGTATTAGACATCGTTTTCCTAAATCAGCAATCCCACCACCACCGTCTCCAGCAAATCTTTCTAATGAAACATCAGCGAATGAACCACTGAAACAAACATCGATTAAACATGATGCTAATACTCGTGGTCTTCTTCTTGGTGATCTTTCATTTCTCTCTCGTCCACCACCAAATATAAGTGTTCCACCACCAAATGTAGATGTACCACATCCATCGAAAGTAGACGTAACATCAGTAAAACCAACAACAATTCCAACACCATCACTTGAATGTGATATTGAAAAAGAACGTTCATCACATATAACTCCTATACCAACAAATGCTGCTCGAACACAATTTCTTGATGCTATTAAAGATCGATTTACATCATCATCTGATTGTGTACAAATGACTGAACGTCAATCATTGGAAGTTGCTCTTGAAGTAAAAGAAAAAAAAACCTTTTGTCCTAATTCTAAATAACATTTTTGAATATTATAGAGCGATTTAAAAACAGCTGTTTCAATGAATCTTTATGGTAATTTAACTCGATCTATATCTGATTGGAAAACAAATCCATTATTATGTAAACGTATGAATGTTCCTAATCCATATCCAGAGTAAGTTTATCCATTAAAAAAGAAAAACAAATTAATCTTATCATAATAAATTGTTTTAGTGATGCATATGATGATTCGAAAGAATCGAAAAAATCTCGACGACAATTATGTTCGAATCTTTTTGAACATCTCTTTACACAATCATCTACAGAACCATTAACATCTTCTGAATAATCTTCTCCAATTATAATACCACCACCACCATCATCATCATCATTAGTATCGAATTCAAATGAAACCATTGTACCATCATCAACAATTATACCAGTTATTCCACAAGTACAATCTTCTTCACTACCTAAATCAGAATTTGCTCGTATTAAATCATTTGAATAAGTAAATTATTTAAAAAGGTTTTTTTTAATAATAATTTATTTTGAATTTTTGTTTTGTTTCAGGAAGATCAAGAACGTCCTCCATTGGATTTGTTTTCGGCAATTTTCGACAATCAACATTCTGATGACGAGAATGCTGATGAACAAGAAGTCGAAGAAAAAAAGAATGATGATATACCGATACCAATTAATCTACCAAGTTCTATTGTATCGAATCCTACTATCACAAAACCATTAGCATCATCATCGTCAATAACATATCAAAGTGATCATGCAGATAGTTCCGATTCTAGTATTGAAGAAATTGGAGTTTCAGGTAAAATATAAATAATACTCTTTCTTTTGTCTATTTTCTTTTTGTTTTATAAACTATTAGATAAATCATCTCTTGTTTATGAACCAGCTGTACCCAGTAATCTTCCATCTTGTTCCAAAACAGAACATGATAAATCAAGTAAGCTATTTACATTTATATATTTTATGATTGTTTTCTTTTTCTAGTATGGACTAAATTAGCAAATACAAGTGCACAATATGAAGAATTAAAACATAAGAAAAAGAAAAAACATCATAAAAAGGTTTGATTTATTTTAATGATTAATTAATTTTAATTTTTTTCCTAGAGTAAAAAACATCATCATTGATACACATATGTGTTTTGTAAATATTTTACATAAAAAATAAAATCAAAATAAAAGCTATCAGTTTTCAATACTATTAAGAATAAAAAAAATTGAATAGTAACATTTGTGTGTTTAATTATCAAGCATTTATTTATTGTTACTCATAGTATAATATTACTTGTTGAATGAATATCAACTGAAAAGATATGTTGTAAACTTTTGTGAAATATTATCAGTTTGATTGACTCATATCATTTTATTATAATGATAAGTATGAGCAGAAGGAGTTGATTATATGAATTGTTGTATAGTAAAACAAGAGATTTTTTCACGAACGTGTATGATAATAATTTACGATTTATCAAGCAATACTCATTGAAGGGTGTGGGTGTTAGTGTGTGGTGGTCGGTGGGTGTGGAGTCTGGGTGCGGGTATTCAAGAGGATAGACGCACCCACACCCACCTCACACCCTTTTTTCCCAGCGTCGTTATTCCTAGAGGTGTAAGCCGACGGGTCGATCGACGGCGCCGCCGAAAAATTTTTAACTTTTTAAAATCTTCTGGGGCGGCTGTAAAAGTTTTATTTTTCATGTTCACGGCAGCGGCTGAAACTTTCAAAGATTTTTCTTAGTAACGGCGGCGACCTGGCCGCTGCACTTATTGCTGCTCAGCGGTGGCGGCCAAGAGATTCTTAAAATTTTTGCCGCCACGGTGACGGTGGTTCAGCGGCACGACTTACATCTCTAGTTATTCCGAGTATAGTCTGCTAGTTTCTGAGAAAAACCAAAAAAGTCTACTTACTGCAATTTTCTTTTTTTTTATTTAGTTCTCATGACATTGCTAGCAATTTCACTGGAAGAATTCAGTCGTCAAATTATTTTCTTTTCTTTGTTGTTTTAACTTATTTATTCTTATAGTTGTGCACTCCCATCCGGGCAATCCGAATCGATTGGTACAATTTGATTTTTTTGTCTTTCATGATTTAGTTATTTTCGTAGTGATCGTTAACTTTAACAGAAAAATGGAAGCTAGATCACTTTTCTGCTTTTCATTTAATCACATCAATGCTTTAACTGTTTTCGTAACTGAGAAATAAAGCTATTTTAGTTTACTTCTTTTTTATGTTACTTATTCAGGTAGTTACCGCAGATTTTACAGAAGCAATAGAATGAAAAAAAAAACACTTTCTTTTTCTTTTTTCAGTTGATTATTCCGAGTATTGCTCGTCATTTTTCTGAGAAAAACTAAACAGCTAAACGGAGAAAGCTAGTTTAGTTTACTTTTTTTTTAAATTTTACTTATTACGATAGTTGTCAGAGATTTTACAAAAGCAACAGAATGAAAAAAACTTCTTTTCTTTTCTTTTTTTCAGCTGGCTATTCCGAGTAATGCTCGTCATTTTTCTGAGAAAAACTTAAAAGGTTAGTTTTGTTTAATTTTTGTCTTTCATCATTGAGTTATTCTGAGAGTGATTACGCATTTTGTAAAAAGAACAATCGAATAACTTAGTTTTGTGTTCTTTTTTTCTAATAATTATGTTCCTACTTCGTCCACTTGTTGTGAGAGAAATGAAAAAATGTAATTTCATTTTCGTTTTGTTTCTTTATTCGTTTATTCTACAAATTATTGTGCATTCTATAATGGCGATTTAGTTAGGAAATTAGCTTTAATTTTTTTCTACATTTAGTTACTCTGTTAGTTTCTGTGCTTTATCAAAGAGTTAAAATCAGATAACTGACTTTCAATAGATTTTCTTCATTTAGTTATGCAAAGAGTTGTCAATTGTCATGTTCAAATGAACTGAATAAGTTTATTCTATTTTCCTCTATTAATTTTAATGATAATTTTCGTGGGTGATAAGACAGAAATAGAATAGATTAGTTGGTTTCTCTCGATTTAGATCGAGCAGGTATTTGGCGAGCATTTCATGTGAAAAATGACACTGAATTAGTTCAAGTATGTTATGCTGTTTGTGATTTGCTACATTAATAGCTAGTGAGGTTTTTATAGAGGAGAATAGAATAATAGTATTTATTGCACTTTTATTCTTCATTGCTTTACAGAATACTTCTTTTACGATATCGATGGTTGTTCTTTTATATGTAGGTTAGGTTAGAAGATGATTTTTTTTAGAACCATCTGTTTCTTATCATCTACTGTTTCATTTGTTCAAGAATGACTAATATGCATAGAAAAATGAAGAAGTTTATAAATGTGAAGTGCGATTAATTGAGACCATGTAGCGCAATCAATATGATTTTAAATTATTGAAATTGAATGGGAAATTAAGAGCAAGTGATATTTATGATCTGTCAGTACTTTTTTATTTGAAAGACACTATATAAATACAGTACTAATTAAAAAAGTATTTCATTTGAAAAGCAGAAAGGCTGTAAGTAAATAACATATCGTCAATGAATAGCTTTTCATTTTAATCACTTTTGTAAGAAGAACATTTAAACATGATTTTACTTTTATTGTCCATCATTTAGTTATTGTGATATTTCTTGACCATCGTTTAAAAGAAATTGAGTAATTTCTCATATTATCGAAATCGTGCAAAAATTGGCGATGTTATCTCAATTTATTAAATCGATTGATCGTGAAAGTATATTGCAATTGAATCACCTAAAGTTGTTGTTTCTGCCGAATTTTGTTTTTGATTTCTGTAAAAACGGGCGATTATTCAAATACAGGGTAACCCATATGTAGTACTAACATGAAAAGAATTAAATACTTCCACATCAGTTAAAGAAAATAGTCTGCTTTTTAGTGGTAAAAGTTCGTTCAAATTTGCTTTTTCATACGAATAAAATGGTATCACGAAAGATTCTCCGGGGACCCTTGCTTGACACCGATGGTTACTATACGATGCCATCTGGAGGTGTGAGTTGAGGGTGTGAGTGTAATTATAGATGTAGTCGAAAAGACAACCCAACCTTCCGCAGTGATTCTTACATGACCATCCACACCGCGGACGTTTATGTGAAGCATACGCTGTTACTAAACAACTGGTGCTAGGAAGCAATGTGGCAGCAGCATCTTTCATGAAGTCGAGTAAAAAAATGCAAATATTTCTATCAAGTATTATATTTCGTATCGTGAAGGAAATTTGATTTATTCTCAACTGAAAAACTATATGGATAGCGTTTTGTAGATAATTTTGACTTGTCATATAAGAGAATAATAAAAACAAGTCAAAACGAACTTTATGAATAAATCTATACTGATCAACATAGAGCAAGTTTCTAGAACCACTTAGTTTAAAAGTCAACAAATGCCAAGTTTCGAGTTTTCAAATATGAAACACTACCTTTTGCGAGAAAGCTGATGTACTGGTACTCAAAGGCTGTGATTGTGTGTGCGTCACTTATCTAGCCCAAATTTCCGGATCTAAACTGACTACTTTTGAAAAGGTGCTCCACGTAAATCAATACAGATCCATGGATAAATTTCGTTTTGACTTGTTTTTATTATTCTCCTATATGACAAATTAAAATTCCCTTCAAAACCCTGCCTATATATTTTTTAGTTGATACTAAATCAAATTTCTTTCATGATATGAAATATATTCCTTAACAGAAATATTTGCATATTTTATTCATATGAAAAGTAAACGTTGAATGAGCTTCTTCTACTGAAAAAGCAGTACATTTTCTTTGACGGATGTGGAAGTATTTAATTATTTTCATCTTAGTGCTATTTGGGTGTGGATAGGTGGCGGTAGTAATAAAAAATACTCACACCCACATCCACCCTCAAGAAGTACCAAAAAGCATCAAGAAGTACCACGACGTACGAAGAAGTTCTGAGAAGTACAAAGAAGTACCAAGAATTACAAGAAATACAGAAGTATGCTTTTTCCCCCTTGTAGAAAGGTTAAAGAACTTGGTTTGACAACTTGATTTTCATAATCAGGGAAACTGAAGTTTTTTTGCTTGGATTATAGGACAAGGCTTTTTCAGTTATATCTCGTTCTATCCAAATAAACTTCCAAAGACGCAACACTTTCTTATCGTATCCTTATTTTTTGCTACTTACAGTGCGTAATTGCAGACCTCATCATGTTCTAAAAATCTCTATTCAGTCATCAATAGAGTGTACAATGTTTACTATTTTTAAGAATGGATACATCTGTTGATTTCGTTCGACGAAATATATTTGATCGTACCGAGAATCTAGAATCCTTGTCGATAGCGTGGCTGGTCGACAGACAAATAACAACAGCAACAACAGATGTTATAAGAGAGCTGAGAAATATTGTTGATTATGTCAAAAGCTTTCATGATATAGAATCCGCTCGAAGCTATATTCGAAAGAACGACAACGGAAAGATATTTCTCATACTTAGTACCAATTATGAATTTATTTCTATCATTCACAATTGGAAACAAATTCATTCGGTCTATATCTACACCGAGAAGGGAAAACATTTTAACAAATGGCCAAAGGTAACGGATTTTATAGCAGAATCAGAAACACATATCCGTGTAAATATAATTTTGTTGTGTTGCAGTTAGTCGGTGTATTTTCAAAATCAACTGATCTATTCGCCAAATTGTTGGAAAATCGAGAAATTTACTATCGAATGGAAGAAAACATATCTATCAGCAATCTCGATTGTACAGGATATGATCGACAGCACACGACGACTTCGCTTTCTAATTATTTTGCTTGGGGAGAAGCGTTTTTCTCTGTGACTTTGGCTTCAATGAATGGCATAATCCCTACCGAACAAGAAGGACGTAAACTAATTACCGACAAATGTCGCCAATATTATCAAGGGAACAGAACTATAGAAACCATTATCGATGAATTTGAATCAACCTATAGCTCTAATGATGCAATCCGATGGTATACAAGGGATAGTTTTCTATACCGTGTAGTCAATAAAGCATTACGAGAAGAGAACTTTGATATTATATTTGCATTTCGCTCATTTATACTTGACGTATCTCGGCAAATTAAACTGGAATCGAATGATCAATTGACCGATGGCCAGCTTCTCACGGTATATCGGGGGCAGTTGATGACAAAAAGAGAACTGGAGAATTTGAAGCCTCATCAAAATATTGCGGTTAAAAGTTTTTTGTCGACAACTCGCGATCGTGAGGTTGCCCGAATGTTTAGTGGTAGCTCGGGACATTATTCATCTATCGATGATACACAAGCAGTGCTATTTGAGATAATTGATCTAACTGTGTTTTGGCGTAAACCATTTGCTGATGTTACACATCTCACATATTTTGGAACAGAACAGGAGATATTGTTTGATATTGGTACGTCTTTTCACATTAATGAGATAACCTATGATATAAACGATCGGTATTGGACAATAAAACTAAAGCAGTGCACAGGTGGGGAAGATTCACTGCGTGAAATATACAGTGAAGATTTTCTTAGTATCGACGATACCGATGATCTATTCACAATGGGTACGTAAATGAAAATACTTTATAGGTGATCGTGGCTTGAATAAAAACACAGTACTTTTACATGAATAATCAAGTCTGCTCTTATTTTATTTTATAAGGACGGAAAAGTCTGAAGACTACGCCTGCTTATATCTTGAAAAAGGATATTTTTTCATAAGTTTAGTGAGGTGTACGAATAGATACTCTTAAATGGCAAGTTTTGTACTTGAATATACGTCATCTAAATGGTATTAAGTAGAGAAAACGATTATCACCTCAATAAAAAACAGTTTTTTTATTTATAAATCGCGAAGTATGTTCTTAAAGCATTCATAGAAGACACCAAAAGATGTTAAGAGTCATGAGAGATTGAAAAATGTGTCTCCGAATTTTCTCCAAGTTATTCCAAATTTATTTATATTTTTAGTTATTGAAATCGATGCAGCTCTTTGTGTGAACGAAGCGTCCAAGCTAGTTTTCAGATGTTGAAGACTTCAATCATGTTCTACAGAAAACAAATGCAATAATAAACTTCAAAAAAGCTTCTCGATTCGGGGATGGGATGGGTTTTTCTTGGTCAAAAATTGAGAAAGTGTTTGATCTCTCTGGAGGAATTCTAAACACTTTCAGGGCAATCTTTTACAGTTTCGTGGTAAAGTCTAACAGCAATAAAGAGGAGAGGGTGGATTCTGTGTTTCCGGGATTCCAGAATTCCCAGGTCTCCAATTGTACTCTCAACATACTCTACACTTTCGTGATTCCGATTGTACTTCCGGAATTTCCGTCAGCGCTATAGGACGAGAACAATTACAGGACTTACAAATGCTATACTTGTGCTTAGAAATATGCACTTGTAGTTTTTCCATTTCACAAATATACTTATCCCTATACTTGTACTTAAGGACACTCCCTTTCCAGGGTGTCTGGAGAACGGCTCATCAGAAAATTTTGAAACGTTCAGGACTGATAGATCTTGACTGGTAGAGAAAAAGTTGTGCTAGACTCAAATTCGCCAAATGCTGTCTTCTAGAAGATATCGAGCTCCCAATCGGTCACAATGACCTAAGTTTTCGCTTCTGTTTCTCCGATATATCATGTTTGATCGATCCGAAATTTTTTTACAGATAATCGGCAACATTTCGAATGGTTATTTTTTTGATTTTCCAAAATTTTTTGTCCTTTCAATAAAAAAGTCAAAAAAGTGGACACACCCTAAAAAAAATACTTGTTTTTTACTAGAGCAAGCTTTGTAAAATCTGCCAAAAATAACCAGAGCAAAATATTTTAAAATAAAAAAATAGCTACCCAAAATAGTGACTAGTATATGTGATAAAAATTTCAGCTCGTTCCTTTTCACCATCTCGGAGAAACGGGGGCGAAACAGTACTTCTGTTAAAAATTTGGTTTTGAGAAAATCGCAAAACAAAATTCACTTTCGATTTTCTTCTAATATTCATCTGTTTCTCTTCCTGTTTTAGTTTTAATAGGTTTTGGGCTACTACGCATTCAATGAGCTAGTTTTCTAAGTTCAGAAAGCGCTTTTGTTTACGCCTACGAGGTGTTCGTAATCAGACACGCGTGAGCGATATACTTCTTGTTGACTATACGTCTCTTTTATCACTGATGGAAGAGAGAAAATAAATGAAATAGTCAACGAGAGAAGTGAAAACTTAGAGTAAATTATTTCAGAGATACTGAGGTATCAACCAGCGATCAGGAATAGCCTTGAATAAAAAAAAACTAACCGGTAGTACAAAAAGTAAGTCCATAGTCGAAAATTTTCGATTTTCTCATATCGATCATATCTCGAAATGAAGTCGGTCGATGTCCTGCGTGTCTCGACATGGAAATCTGACATGATCATACGCTAAAAATGAGATAAATACAGGTAAATTAAACGCAAAGACAAAAACTTTTGAAGAAAAGCTAAAAATAGAGCCTTTTTTTAGATAAGTGAGTCTCGGAAATAGATTTTGTTGAGGTCTAGAACTTGTCAACAGAATTCTCTTTTTTGAAGATCGATAGAGGACACTTCCAAGTACATATATCGAAGAAAAAAAATTTTACATGTCCGGAAAGGGGGTACTCTTAAGTGCGCAAAAAAAAGACTTCTTTACTTTTACTTGAGTCCTAAAAAAGTATTTGGTACTTTTTCTTGAAAAAAGATAATTATCGTTGCTTAGATTTCCAATATCTGTTAGGTTTTTGACAGCTACTACAATACCATCTGACCAAAATGTAAATGAAATAAGGATATTTTAATCGAAAAATTTACTGTAGCATGCTGATAAATTCATTGCCGACTGTCTATAAAAATCATACGCTTTCATTCTTCCAGTTTCACTAAAATTATGATAGACATCTTTAAGTAATGATACACCTTCAATTCAATATTTTTTACAGCTAAGCTTGCTTTATTGCTACATCGCCGAATAATCTTGTTTTCTAATACATTTTATACTGTGAAGTGGCAATTCTATGATCGATTCTTGCCTTTTACATATTGTCACAAATCAAAGAACTGAGAAAACTTTAAGTAGCATCTGAATTTATTATGGGTAGGATCATCAAACAGAGTACAAGACGCACTTTTTAATTTTGACAAAAGATACGCATCTGTTTGTAGTTAGAAAATTCTGAAGAAATGAAACTTATGATAAGCATTATGCGTAATTACTTTATTTTTGAAGAAAAAGAAAGGTATTTTGAACACAGAAAAAGCCAGTTTCTCGTATTTCAAGTAAAAGCACAGATTACTTTTTTCGTACTTAGGTACGAAGCATAAAAGTATTTTTTCGAAATACAAGTGTTCCGTATTTTTTACAGCATAGGTAGAGGTACCAAGTACACCGTGAATACTTGTACTTTTACTTTTTACTTGAAGAGTTTGGGTGTGAGTGTGGGTGTAGCTGAAGGGAAGATTTACAACAACGTCCACATCCACACCCTCCCAAAATGTGAACACACTACTACAGACAATAGAGAGATCTTCTATTAACAAACTTGGTTCCATCTATAGTGCAAGTGATTACAGAAGCTATATTCTTTTCATATTTAGGTGACTACTGGGCGTATTACGATAATGAAAGAAGGGCGGCATACTATAAGGGTCTCTTAAGCAATTTGAATCCAGAGAATTATGAATCAATCATTCGATGCACGAATACTCTTGCTGAGGCCTCTTTCAGAATTAATGATTTTCGTCAAGCATTACAATGTGAATATTATCTGTTAGAATTTTATGAGAAATTGTGTCCAAATGCTTTCAAAAAGTTCTGGATGTGTTACACTAGACTTGGTGATATTTACTCAGCGGTCGGGGACTATCTTGAAGCGAACAAATACTATAAAGCAGTACCGTCGAGACTACTATACGTAGATTCTAATGATGATACGTTGCCTCCTATCGAATTTAGCAAATTANATATGGAAAAAAAGAAACAATCATCAATTCATATGATTCATTTAACTGAATCATCAAGTAAATTTTTTCATGATATTCCAAATCCATTTGAACGACGTCAATTTGCTTTTCGAGTTTTACCCGAAGAAAAAGATCCAATGAGTCGAGCAAAAAATTATTCATTTATCATGTCTACATTAAAACTTCGTCTTCAACAATTAATAACTACAAATTTATGGGAATATATTATGTTCATTTTATCTATTTGGTTATTTATTTCTTTATTAATTGTACATAAAATACCAGAAATGAGAATATTTTTCGAACTTACACATGAAATTACTCAAGGTTTGCAGAGCCTTTCATCTATAAAAATTGTTAATAAATACTTAATATTTTAGCGGCACTATTTATTGAAGTATCTTGTAAATTATATGCTGATTATCGTTGGTTTTTTTTATGATATTTGGAATTTTTATGATCTTATTTGTGTAATTGTTAATTCACCAGTTAGTCATATTTCTATCTCATGAAAAAAGTTCTGTCGTTGTTGTTTTTTTTTTAATTTTTTGTTTTTTTTATATTCTTTTTTTTTCTTATCATTNTCGTTCAAATGGATTTGGAATATCATGAAAAAATTTACTTGATGATTCAGTTAAATGAATCATATGAATTGATGATTGTTTCTTTTTTTAATTTATTAGTTTGTCTATAATCTTTTTGTATCTGATCATCTTGGTGTACCACAAATTAATAGTATTCAACGACTTTTTCGTACATTACATGCTATTCGTTTAATACGTATTCATAGTCTTTTACGATTTGTTCTTGAAACAATTTTTATTGCTTTATCTAGTATCTATAATACATTATTACTGGAATTTGTTATTGTAGCAGTTTTTGCATTACTTTCAATAGCTTTTGAAGGTGATAAATCATTTTGGGATTCCGGTACATATGAACCATATGAAAATTATACTGAAGCTCTTTATTCATATTATATGTGTATTACATTGGAAGGTGTTAGTGAAGTAGCTGAACAAATTTTACAATTAGATTCACCACAATTTACTACTGTTATTGGATTAACATTTTATATATTTGCTGCTTTAGCTACATATAGTGTAGGACAACTTCTAGCAGGTATTTTGAAAAAGTAAAAATTGATTCTTTTAGATAATTGTTCACTAATAGAAGTGTTACTTTATTTTTTATTACTTTTTATCATAAAGAATAATTATAAAAATAAAATCTTTATAGTTATAAAATAATTTTATTTTTTCTGAGAATCTAATTTTAAATTTTTACCAGGTAGCTGATAGGAGTTTATGTATTTTTTTATGTATCAGCTTTATTTTTTTCTGATATCACATATTGAAGTGATGCTGGTAATAAGAAATAATATTGATAAACGTATCCTTTTGTTATATTAGGTATTTTGTCTATTTATCACAGAAAGAAATCTTTCTTTATTCTTTATTTTATTAAAATAAAGATTGTGCTTATAAAGTAAAGATAAAATTAACGTCCCTATTCACTCGAAAAATCATCGGTCATATATACTAAATTTTTTTCCATAGTGATCTTCAAATTTCGACTAAAATTTGTTCTATTCTTCTTAGCTGTTGTTGCTACAACTCTTGGTAAAGCAATTGATCAAATAACACGTAATAAAAGCTCAGCAACCAGTCAACATTATAATACAAAACTTCTTGGATTACAGCGTCCATCAATTAATGAAAACAAGATATCAATGTCTCGTTGTACCAATGTTGATGAAATTCAAAATTTTTCTCAATTAAAACCTGATGATCTTGCTTTATTAATAATACTTTTTCAAACTCTTGATAAAAATATAATTGAATATGATAATATCTTACGTGATATTCGTCACATTGGTGAATATATTTCCAAATCTAATAAGAAAAAAACTTCATTCTCAGCACATTAAATCATTCACAATTATTTATTTAACAATATTAATTCAAAATAATGATGAAGCTTTACAATAAATTTAACAATATTTTAAACAAAACTTTATGAGGCATGCATCAAATTCGAAGTCGGATTCGAAAACTTCAACCAGTTCAGATAGTATCTAGTATTTTACCAAGCATTATTTGAGGTATACGAATGGTGATGGAAGCATCTTAAAGTTCGATCAAGTTCGGTTTCGGCCATTTTTTTTAAGGTTACTGTCACCATAGATGAGTGACTGTGCTGTTCGACACATATCCACAAAGTAAAGTTTTCAAACCTCAGTGCCACTAAGCATGGAATGATCCTGAACAAGTAGCTAATGACTGTTTCGAATCATTCATCCGATAGCATGTTGACTACGTTGTGGCATACACTTGTTCTTGTGGTTAGTTAGGGTGTATAGGGAGCTCAAGTAATTGAGCACAAGAACTCTGCATCAGGCTGCTTTCTGTCCAGAACTAGAACTAGTATTAGTTGTAGGTAACCTATCGATGTCGGGTTATTGAATCTGTTACTAGGCAGCGATTCATGTCATAGAGCAGAGATATTTTTCGTCTTCCTTGTTCCTTTAAGAATGCTTGTATCTTTTCAGCTTGTAGATTATTTTTAAATGTGTGTAGACTTACCATAGTCAATCCTAAAATCTTTTCTTTTTTGCTTACTTTTATTTCATTTCATTAATTCATTGAAAATGGTTGAACTCAAAGCTGAACCTGAACGGTTCAGATTCGGTGTATATGCTTATTTTAAATAGAATCCTACGTCATCTAACCGATCAAGATAAATTATTAAGTTCACTTGGTGAATTTTCTTTTAATGAAACACAAAAAATCTTCGAGTTATCAAAATGATATCTATATCACATTTAAATCGATGAATTAAAAAACAAGACAAAATTGAAAATATTCTTTAAAAAAATTAATTTTTCAAAAACATTGAATAGAAACAAACGTTATCTTCTTATAATAAATCACGATTATAAAAAAACAATTAAAAAAAAATCCTATGATTTTCTCGTTTTTTTCCTTAATAATCAGATGTATGAAAATAGATATATTACAAACTTAATCATTAATATGAAAAATAAATAAATAAAATAGATGTAAAGTTTAAAACTTTAAATTTCTTATTGAATTAATGGTTCATTTTCATCGTCCTCATCATCGTCATCTTCGTCTGAGAGATGTTCAACTGTAAATTCTTGAATATTTGATTCACGATTACGAACTATTTTCACTATACAACTTACGAGAAAAACCGAAATAAAACACAATAAGATATTTTTTTCCAATAAAATTTACTTACAATAAGAAATAACCAGCTAAGAAAAAAATAAACAGCTCCAAAAAACCAAACTTTATAGAAAAACCGAAGTATTATACGACCCATCACGGTCATTTCACATTGATCTAAAATATACAAAAAATTAAATAAATACATTAGAAATCAAATCAAGTCAATAGAAGTTATACCTGTTGTAACATATTGTGTACATGGTTGAATAATCACTGTTGTGCTCTAAATATATGAGAAGGTTTCAAATACGAAAATAAAATCAAACTATATTTTACATTTCCAAAAATAAGACTATTTTAGCTGAAATCGCATTGAGAATCTGTATTTTAAATGAAAATCAATTTCATAGATTCAGCAAGGGCTGGATAATTAAATAAAATTTTCATTTAGTTTTTATCAGTTTTTTTGAAATTATCATTGAACGTAAACGTTCTTAATAACAATGACAATTTAAGTGGTTTTTCAACAAAATTATCAATCAATCTAGTTTATTGTAAAAATGACAGATTTTTTTCTAAGATCTTCTATTTTCTAATCCAATATTAAAAATTCTGTTATGCGAAAAAGTGAACTTTGTTTTATTATATTTATATCTCAGAATAAACGACATTAAAAAAGATTATCTAAGTGGACTAATTGAACGGTATGCATCGATTAAATCTTGAGAAGTTCTATAATAGAAATACTTCTCTCCAAATTACTGCTTCACTTAAAATGTAAATAATAAAGATATTTAACAAATAAAGTTTTTCAATTATCAGACATCATTTCACTTCATATTTTGGCTATGAATAGATCTCGATTAGGTTAACGATAAGTCGAAAACCATTCAGTCTCAAACCTTTCCTTTACCGACATCTGATTTGGTCCATTTTCATGATCTCTATATCAAAGGAACATTAAATAGTAATCTACTCATATCCAAACCATAGAATCAAAAAACATTCGACAGCTAAGAATATTCTTTCATAAATATTCATTGCCTATAAACGATACATTTTACAGAGTAATACATGAGTTCTCGTTATATAAAAACCGATGTACCAATTGCTAAAAACTTTCTACTCGAATATTTGCCTCTATCTGCGAAATCTATATCGAACTCGAAAGTTCTTGTTGTATTCCAATTTAAAAGATTTTCACCATAACAAATGTACTTTCACTTTCAAAATAATCTATGCAGTATTAGAAATCATTACATACATTTACTACTGAAGCATAATGTTGGTCACCATAAATTGAATATTGAGGTATAAGAAGATAAACAAAAGCATTCATTGCTACAACAATAAACATCATTAATGATGAAAGCATTAATATAGCTTGTGGTTTTGTTCGTCCGCGTGAAAATCGATACATCTTTAAAAAGAATAGAATAAACAAAATATTTTTTTTTAAAAATCATCTACTTACTCGAATCCAAAAATACCAAATACCAAGTTGTTGTAAACCAAAAAGTGATGTTACAATAATATAAATCAGTAAAAGAGATAGAACAATATAACTCATTGGATAAAACTTTAACAAAATCAATCAATAAATAAAACTTTTATTTGTTTGTTTTTCTTACTTTTCCCGTCCATGTTATAATTATATCAATTGGGTTTGGTAATGTTTTATTTCCATGTGCAAATATATGTTTAATACTTACAAAATGTATACATTTATTAATATTACTTAATAATAATGATATAAATATAAGTATAGCAAATAAAAGTAATAAAACACCAAGAATTATTTGTAAAGGTCGATATACAAAACGACATTTAAAAAATAAACTTCGACGTACAACTTTAATTGATTGTTCATCACGACTTAATGCCATTTCTTTTTGTTCAAGTTCCTCTAGAAAAAAATAAATAATTAATATTAAAATACTTAGGGTATACCAAAAGTTCTGATCACAGTTTTTAAAATTTAATAAAGCAATAAATATTGAATATTTTACTAAGGCAATATATAGTATAACGTCTCGTCTTTAATATTATATAGAGCAAC